ATTTTAAATTTTAAGTTAAAATTACCATTTTCTACCAACTCAGAATGAGAACTCAAGAAAAACTGAAATTCAGCTGTAATTAGGGTATGTTTTTGTTTTAAAAAAAGCAACAGATGAAATATGGGATCCTTTCTCAATACAGCTTAAGGTATAACCTTATTGTTTTTAAATAATTAGTAAAACAGAATTTTTTTTAAGAAAAAAAAATCAGAAACCATGTCTGTTCCAGCACATATCATCATTAGAATTACTTTGAGCATTACGTCTTTGATACAGGGGCCAGGACATGATCTACGGGGGCACTGGCCCCCATTGGACCCTGTCTAGAACCGCCCATGACCATCAGCGTTTTTATTGGGTTTTTCTGTGAGACCCACATAAGATGCTTGTGAAGAGAAAATAAAAATATATTCAGTATGGCCTGCATTCACATTTAGCCTACCTTTATCCACCACGTAATAAAATAAAATCCAGGGTAATCAGTATTGGTAAGAATGCAGATGTTGTGATTCTAGCCTCAGAAGCTTGTTAGGGTAAATTAACAGACAAAAAGGTATTGCACAACAAAGGAAATAAAAGAGGGATCAGGAGGGAAGTGGTGGAGTACTGTAGATGAAAGCACTAAAACAAGGTCCCAACATGGAAAGAGACAGAGAATAGGAAAACCTGCTTGTAGATTTAAACAAGGCTAGACATCAGCCAAGAGGTAACTCTGGATGAGCTGCAGAGATCAGCTGGTCCAAACTAATAGAAAGGGAGTCTGAAAAAAGCTTTAGAAGCTCAACCTCTAGCGCAACGTCCTAAATAAACAGCCAGAGCTAAAAGTAAAAAGGGGGCGAACCCGTTCGTAAGGTTCAATTTGCGTGTTTTCTAAGCCAAGGCAAGGCTTTGTTGTTTTTTTTCCCCAGTCTATTAAACCTCAAACTCAACGCTATTTCTGACATTTTAAATTGAAAAAGTTTCCTAGATGTGAAGCAAAACGTCTTCAAACTTGGAAAAAAAGTCCAGTGGATTGTTTTTTTTTAGCTTTCTTTGGACTATGACCTGGATGACTGAGCTAAAGCAGACATAACTAAAGTGGGATAGTTTAAATCAAACCAGTTCCATTTGTTAATACAAATACAATAGAGCTGAATCCAACTGAATTTGTGGCAACACAACAAGTTTACATGATATGAATATTTTGCAAGGACTTGCATATGACACAAAACATATGCCAAAAATCTTTAGGCTAGAGTAGCGGCAAATAAGTATAATGATGAAAAATAATTAAAGATAAGAATAAAGGTAACTTACATCAAATTTGTCAAAGCTACTCATACAGAACCCCGGTTTGTCTACCGATCTGCTTATTGGTGCTTGAATGTTTGCGCATTGGTGAGTTAGATTTGTGTGTAAATTTGACAGTTTTAAAGGACTGTTTGACTAGAAAAGTGCTGAATAACTCATTCTTTACTTATTTATCTAAACTTCTCAGTAAAAGTAGCCCATATGTCAATGCAGCAGGCATTTGTCAACACAGCAAATAGCAAAGGACCAACAACACACCCTTGGGGGACCTCTTTGCTCAGTGCAGTTCTGCTTATTCACAGGGGGAAGAACACACTAAGGATTTTCAAAATATCTTAAAGGAAAAGTCCAGTCAGCAAGGAATAACCAATAGATCATTATCTATACCTAAACCTAAGCCTTTAGCCTATTGTCTTATCTAAGGCCCTAAGGAACAGTGCTAGCATTAGCCTAGCTTATTGTTAAGATGAATGAGATTCACCTGAGTAGTACATGTGTATACGCAATACAAAGAATCTGTAGCATTTTAAAGGAGAAGCCCAGTCAGCAAGGAATGATCAGTAGATCATTATCTATACCTAAAACTAATACGTTAATGTCATGATTGGTTCTCAAGGAGGTTTCCAATTATGCAGAACACCACTGAGGCGGGAGCAGGAGTATGGTTAAACAGAGTTTATTCTGCACAAACACACAGAATGTACAGGATCTGGTTCGGGCCTGGGTTCTGGTTTCACCGGAGTCTTGAGGGTTCTTGAGGTTCTCTTTGGGAGAGTCACTGTTGGTTCTGGAGAAGAGCTTGTAAGCAGAGTCCGTTTGCTGCTTCAGCGTCTCACGTTCAGACCTTGGCCTTGGTTTCCCAGCTCTAGTCCAGAGCTGCTTGGAGGTTCTCTGAGGATCTGTAGGGTTTGGCTCTGAGGGTCGGCTCGGCAGGTTAGCACTTCCCGAGCTTTCACAGAGGAGGCACTGGTTTTCTGGAAACACAGAGACAGAGGTTAGAATCCAACCTGGATTCAAAGTCATGGAGATACAACAAAGATCTAGGCTTTAACGCTGACCAACTGGAACAA